TCCAATTGGAGGACCTCAGCACTGAATTGCAGGTGTGCCAGAATGTTGCTACTCTTAATCCCCCAGCTGATCTGGACAGGACCTGGGGTGCCAGAGCTCCCAGGATGGCTGTCTCTTCCCAGTGAGTCTTGTCAGATTATCCCACTGTATCCTAAAGATGTGTAATGTACTTTGATGCCATAATGGGAGAATGATTGAGAAGCACTGCCCTTTGGTATTCCTTCTCCCAGTGTCTTCCACGGATGTCTTGCATCAGAATTCCTGGTAGGGATATGATCCTGATAGATGGTTGTTAACCCACTTGTTAAATCTACCTCCCTAACAATTCTTAAATTCATCCCCTTGCTAATACTGTCACTTAGTTAGTGAAGTGGCTTTTGTGTAACTGATTATCAATCCAGTGACTATTCCTCCTCCTTCTTCTAGGTTGCCAGAGCCTGTTTCACATGATACAGAGAGAAAGTGCCCAATACACACTCTTCTAGCTTCCCTTGTAGTTCAACCCTGGGATATGATTCAATTCTGGACAATGGGACATAAAAGAAATCCATTGGAAGACAAATATGGAATGAATTCCTGCTCACTGCACAATGAAATGGAGCTTTGAGAGAAGCCCCCCTGTTTTTTTTTTTAACTCCTCTATTTTTAGATGTTGATGTGAACGAATCTGAAGCATTGACCTGCTGCAGTGATTTTGCAGCCATGAGAAGACAGAGAATCACACCTCTGAACCCTGACGTTGTCAAGCCCTGGAGCAACCTGGAATTGCTTACGTTCTCATTTTCCATTATTTGTGAAAAATAAACTCTTTTCATTTAGCAACTTTCAGCTCGTTTTGTTTTTTGTTTTTGTGTTTTTGGTTACTTGTAGCCAAAATAATCCCTAAAGGATAAAATTTTAAACCTGGTTTTCATACCTCCAGGGTTTCCCACTTCTAATTCATCCTCCACCCTGTCAGAGTAGTGATCTCTCTAAAATGCAGAACTGATTATGCTAACCCTAGCTTTGTGTACGAGTGGCTCCCTTTTCCTCCACAAAACACACAGTCTCATATGTCCCCTGACTGTCTCTCCAGCTCCAACTTCCATTAATTCTTCTGTCACATGCAAGGTTATGGCCCCAATAAATTATCAGTGTCTCTTGGAAGGCATTGTACTATTTAACACCGTTAAGACTTTGCTTCAAACACTTCTTTCTGGAATATCCTCCAAATCCACTATCTTCCTAACTGATGTCCATTTTCAAGACCCAGTTCAAATATCTATCCCTTTCATAATGAAGCTTTCCATGGACATTACCCCCTACATCACGTAGAGTTGTCCACTCTCTGTTTCACCCCCTGCAGTCTACAAGAGGGCAGTGTGGACTTCCAGGGTAGAACATATAACATCGCATTTTCATTTATTTATCATTTTCCAGTTAATTACCATTTCTAATTTGTCTTTAGATTTCTAGCACCTAACAACATGCCTGGAATATAGGAGATGCTCAATAAATATTTGTAAGAATAAATGAAAAGAATGAAATATAATTTTTTATATTACAGAGTAACACTGATGTATATTCTAAAATTCATTTAAAACATTCCCTTGTAATTTCTCTTTCATTTTTAATGAATTATAATATCTTGAAGCTGGAAACTTTATATCTGAAACTGATAAGAACTGTTTTAGTGTGCACACTGGAATTGACTCTATTTCTATGATCTGTACACAATATATTCTTGTTCCTTTGTAGAAAATCAAATTTTCCCTATCTTTATTCACATCACATTTTATTTGAAATAAAAGAAGTATGAAAGAAGAAATCATATTATTTATTAAATAACATCTTAACATTGTTATTAAAAGATAAAGGGTCATGAACTTTATCTAAACCAATAAATACCCAGCAATGATTAGTTCAATACCATGTCATTTCATATGTGAGAATATAATAGTTTCCCGTTTTTCAAACCTCCATGCCACATGACCCTAGTTTTTTGAGAAACTCACAAAAGTAAGACATTTTAACTGCAATTGGTTTAGCTCGCTTCTGCTTTCCACCTGGGGTTCCCTACAATCACACTTCCCCTCAAGTTGGAAGGCATTAGAGAGACCACGGACCTTTCTGGGATCTAGCTAAGGAGAAGTTGAATTTGGATATGGGAGATAGATTTATGTGGCTTGCAGTTACTTCCGTGTCTAATTAGGCTATTTCTAGCCATCCATGTATGGTGATGGCTTCCAGGAATTCTCTCCCATCTACTCTACCAATTCACCCAGAATTTGTGACATGAATGTGCAGGACCAGAAGTCACATCTCAGTATGTATTAGCCCCATGGCATCCAGTGTAGAATGAGTAGTGGAGGAAAAAATTTGAAATGGTGGAGCCCAAAGCTCGTCTATGGAAAAAATATTATAGAAGCGTGTCAGGCAGTTATGTAGTAAAAGCATTTTTTCAAAATTTTATAATATTTGTGGCTTTTATTAGTGTTTAGATCTGTGATTTATCATTTTAACAAATGTTTATTTTTGTACTGAATTTTATATTTTTATGTTTACCGTTTTTCATCAAGAGGCTTCTCAACATCGTATAAACTTCAGGCTCTACAACACCTGCATCTAGATAAACCTATACCATAATAAAGATTTCACAGACCCAGCGTAAGATTAAGCTAGCTACCTATTTTGTTTTTAAATAACTTGATAAATCATGTATTTCCCTAAAATTTTCTTGTGTTATGATTTTCTGCAGAATTTCTAGAGAAAATTCAGAATGTTCTTTGTAAATACGGCTTAAGTTTTTAAAAAGACAACATATTTTAATTTTTATTCACCATTACTACTCAGATACAGAGTTGGGTATTGTGCCCTGCAGGGCAAAGCTACCATATTGTCTGATTGGGTAGGCAAGTGAGAGGGGAACTTATTTAAACAGAGCATCATAATTGAATTTTAACATTAACTCAATCTTTTTTCTTTCCATTGTATGATGCTATTTTTGTTCAATTTTTCTTTTTTCAAATATTACCAGTTTTTTCCTTTATGGAGCAGGGCAGTGTGATGACGGCAGAAATAAGACATAAATTATTCTATGATTTTTAGAGAAGGATCTGCTGTTGAATGCCTTTATATTTTGTGAGTGAAGCTAATTGTAATTCCCTGGTCTTATTTAGCTATAAGTCACATGAAGTGTTTGAATTTTAAATGCTGAATCACCCTAGGTGGGCATACAGCTTTGTTCATGAACAAGGATGGTGCAAGAGCACGGTGTATTTTCAAAAATACCTCTGTTATAATTAACCAATTAGTGGTTGAAACACTGTCACAGTTTTGTATTTTTTCAAGTGTCTCACCTGGTCCTTGGAGTCAGCCTGTGACCTCTATATGCCTCCAGAAATTTAGGTCTTAGCTGCTAGCAACAGGAAGAAAATTTACATCTGAAATCTAAAATAAAATTTTGGGGCTTCCCTGGTGGTGCAGTGGTTGAGAGTCCGCCTGCCAATGCAGGGGACACGGGTTCGTGCCCCAGTCCAAGAAGATCCCACATGCCGCGGAGAGGCTGGGCCCATGAGCCATGGCCGCTGAGCCTGCGGGTCCTGAGCCTGTGCTCCGCAATGGGAGAGGTCACAACAGTGAGAGGCCCGTGTACCACAAAAAAAAAAAACACACACACACAAAAAAAACCAACCCACAACTCAGTTACCTGAAGCCCAGTTTTTCTCTTAGTCTGTGTGTACTTAAAGGGTTTAAGTCTAAAGTAAAATTTTGGGGGCTAGTATGTAATACGTATCTGTTCTGTGCCTTTCTAAGAATGATTCCTTGCAGTTCTGTGCCTTTTTATTTCCGTGCCATATGTCCTCTTTTCCTGTATTTTCTGTAAATTTTCTCTTAAGTGCCATTCTGAGGAATATTAATGCAGGTATCTGAGAATAATTTTTTAAGTCTTGCATGACCCAAGATGGGTTTGATCAATCTTATTCCTGCTTTAATTCATATTTGAGGACTAAATTTCCATTTAGAGAGAGGAATGATTTTCTTTCCCAATTCTGGGGTGCATGATCATTCTAAATGTGAAATAACTTTGATTTAATATTGTCATCTGGCTCTTTACAAGTTCATCACATTTGGTAGATAATCTGGTTTTATTAGATCTAATGGAAAAAAAAAGTGTGCATTTTAAGGTAAAATTTCCCATTAATATTTCTGTTTTTATCCTGTTATTATTTTCAACATATACTTTGAAAAGCATATTAGACCAACAGATGATATTTGACAATTTATTTCTAGGATCAATCCACAAGCTCCTTTTTTTTTTATAATTACAAGATTATTAGTTCAGGCAGTGGTTTAGAAATGTGATGTTAAATATAGTTCAGGCAGGTACTATAATTAAAATTAAAATTTTATCCAGTTTTGTAAACAGGGTAGCTATAGATAGAGGGGAAAAAAGGAGTCTTTCCAATGAACTCTTTGGCATTTATCTTGCATACTGCAAAAAATTTCAGGTGAATACTAAGAAATACCTCCATTTTGAGGCGGTCTTACTATGTATTTGTTATTTCATTTATTAATTTATTCAACACATATTTTTTGAATTCCAACTGTGTGGTATGGACGTTCAAAGAGCAAGAGGACTGAATGACAGTTAACAACCTCAGAAAATTTCTTGGTATTGTAATGCCTGCTCACAGAGGCTTGTATCTAGGACCTACAAGACCCAGTGCTTTGAAGTCTCTGCAATGCGTATTTTAATGAAGGGACACAATTTATTTGAAGGAATCCTGCCCCTATGTTCCATCACATGAGAAATTTCTTAAGCAAGTGTAAAGATGTCTTAAGCAAGCAAAACAAACTAATGAGCTATTCGTGAAGCAAACAGGTGTCAATGAAAATGAAGCCTTGTGTTTTTCGCCACACCCCATAGCCAGGGTATATAAAGAAGGATGGAGAGTAGGGAACCCATCACACTGAGGAAACGCATTCCACTGCTGTCTAAGCCCCCAACTCCAGACACCATGAGCTATAACAACTTCTCCAGCACTGTCTTCCCAGGATGCTACTGGGGCAGCTACAGCTACCCCCCTGGGGTATAGTGTTGGCTGTGGCTACGTCAGCACCCACTCCTCAGTGGGCTATGGTTTTGGCTATGGCTACAATGGCTGTGGGGCTTTCGACTACAGAAGATTCTGGCCATTTTCTCTCTATTGATTTTCTGAAATACCTAAGGCATGGAATCTTCTCTCCCAAGGGTGAGAGGCATAATTCCAGGTCCTCATGTGCTCATCAACCTCCCAGTCGCTGCTTTTCAGACCTAGCACCAGAGTCTCAAGGGAAGAAAATGAAAAACCACTTGATGCCTCCAGCTGCCTTCCCTGGATGATGTTTGTGGGGACATTTGCAGAAACTTGACACCCAAACATGTATTACTTTTGAATTTTTCACCATGCTCATGATGTTTGTCATCATCAAGTTACGGAAGTGTCTGTCAAATTCTCAATAAACTTGTCTCAACCATCATAATATTCTCACCTGAGAGGAGTTTCCTTTTTTGGTGGGTACATTTGGTGGGCATATTTTTTGGTACATTGAGTGCGGAGGGAAGTGGATTTATTTTTCTCATGTGCGTGTTAGAAGCAGTGAGAAAGCAAATAATCCTTGATCTTTTGTGATAAGCAGGCAAGAAGGGTTTGCTTATGATTAAAAAAAATCCTGTCTTAACCTTCCTTTAACTCTGTGATATCCACCTCCAATTCTGGTGCCAATGGCACACCATTAGTTGCTTGCAGTACCGTCTCACCACTTCTGCTCCTCTGCAAGAGAACGGAACATTGGTGGCCGATTTCACTTATTTCTATATTAGTGCAAAGGAACCCCACTATGTTCCCTCTCCCAGGGACTAAGGATTGTAGAACAAAATGCTATGTCCCCTACTTAAGGATTCTGGGGCATCTAGAATAGCTAGAGATGTATTTTAGGAGTCTGAGAGTCTTTTAGGGGAAGGATAAATCCCTTATCTCAAACCACCTAAGGTATCTACTTTACAGCTTAGAAGCACCAGTTTAGAAACAACGATGTAAAGCTTCTTAATCTTTGTAGAATCAATACCAGGTAGTGAATTTTACTCTTAAAAGAGCCCCTTTTCATAGACCTGAAGATATATCAGCCTTTCTCTGTGTTCTTTTAGAGAGGAGAGGAGTATTCTTTTTATAAGCCAAGTCAATAATGTCTCAATCCTCTTGTTGAAAACATTTTATGTAGAGCACAAATATTCTTGGTGACAGCAGGATTTGGCTTAACTCTGCTCTTCTATTGAGTGTCTGCATGTGGCATGCTGCATATTTTTCGCCTTAGTTATAAATGTAAAGGCTATTTGGAGAAATCATTTTAGAAAACAGTATTTTCTGCACAGTATTTCACCCCACAAATATCTGTTTAAAAAAAATTCAAAAGACAACTTGTTTAAGAATTGACTTAGTAGATTATTTTCCAGACTATCGTTATAACCAGTAAAATGTCCAGTTTGAAACTTTCTGGCAGCCGCAGGTTGATGCATGCTGAGAACTGTAACTTAATGAAACATGCAGGTTAGAATAGCATAAGAAAAGAAAAGGTTTTTTTTTTTTTTTCAGGAATTAGAGGGTCAGATTGAGGTTAGAAACTGTGTGGCTGTTCTAGAATGATGACTGAGTTATAAAAAATTTGTGCTTGAAGAGACCACAGAGAACATCTAAGTCAGTGTTTCTGAAGTTACGGCATGCAGGAGCATCACTTGGGCAGCTGGCTTAAAATGTAAATTCTTGGGCCTCACGCCCAGGAATTCTACTTGGTATATCTGAGGTATGATTCAGAAATAAATTTCTTTTCCCAGCTTAATTGAGGTATAATTGACAAATAAAAATTTTATATATTTAAGGTGTACAACAGGATGTTTGATATGTACATACATTGTGAAATGATTACCACAATCAAGTGAATTAACATATCATTCACCCCAGATAATTACTGACTTTTTCAAAAATTTATTTTATTTTAAAAGCATACTTTATTTAAGGTGTGCTTTATTATATGAGAGCTTTTATGGTTACTTGAGAGACACATCTGCATGGCCCTGGGGTCGTTCCCCCCCCTTTTTTTTTAACATCTTTATTGGGGTATAATTGCTTTACAATGGTATGTTAGTTTCTGCTTTATAAGAAAGTGAATCAGTTATACATATACATATGTTCCCATATCTCTTCCCTCTTGTGTCCCCCTCCCTCCCACGCTCCCTATCCCACCCCTCTAGGTGGTCACAAAACACCGAGCTGATCTCCCTGTGCTATGTGGCTGCTTCCCACTAGCTATCTATTTTACGTTTGGTAATGTATATATGTCCATGCCACTCTCTCGCTTTGTCACAGCTTACCCTTCCCCCTCCCCATATCCTCAAGTTCATTCTCTAGTAGATCTGTGTCTTTATTCCTGTCTTACCCCTAGGTTCTTCATAACATTTTTTTTCTTAAATTCCATATATATGTGTTAGCATACGATATTTGTCTTTCTCTTTCTGACTTACTTCACTCTGTATGACAGACTCTAGGTCCCTCCAACACATTTCAAATAGCTCAATTTCATTTCTTTATATGGCTGAGTAATATTCCATTGTATATATGTGCCACATCTTCTTTATCCATTCATCTGATGATGGACACTTAGGCTGTTTCCATCTCCCAGCTATTGTAAATAGAGCTGCAATGAACATTTTGGTACATGACTCATTTTGAATTATGGTTTTCTCAGTGTATATGCCCAGTAGTGGGATTGCTGGGTCATATGGTAGTTCTATTTGCAGTTTTTTAAGGAACCTCCATACTGTTCTCCATAGTGGCTGTACCAATTCACATTCCCACCAGCAGTGCAAGAGCATTCCTTTTTCCCCACACCCTCTCCAGCATTTATTGTTTCCAGATTTTTTGATGATGGCCATTCTGACTGGTGTGAGATGATATCTCATTGTAGTTTTGATTTGCATTTGTCTAATGATTAATGATGTTGAGCATTCTTTCATGTGTTTGTTTGCAGTCTGTATATCTTCTTTGGCGAAACGTCTATTTAGGTCTTCTGTCCATTTTTGGATTGGGTTGTTTGCTTTTTTGTTATTGAGCTGCATGAGCTACTTGTAAATTTTGGAGATTAATCTTTTGTCAGTTGCTTCATTTGCAAATATTTTCTCCCATTCTGAGGGTTGTCTTTTGGTCTTGATTATGGTTTCCTTTGCTGTGCAAATGATTTGAAGTTTCATTAGGTCCAATTTGTTTATTTTTGTTTTTATTTCGATTTCTCTAGGAGGTGGGTCAAAAAGGATCTTGCTGTGATGTATGTCATAGAGTGTTCTGCCTATGTTTTCCTCTAAGATTTTGATAGTTTCTGCCCTTACATTTAGGTCTTTAATCCAATTTGAGCTTATATTTGTGTATGGTGTTAGGGAGTGATCTAATCTCATGCTTTTACATGTACCTGTCCAGTTTTCCCAGCACCACTTATTGAAGAGGCTGTCCTTTCTCCACTGTACATTCCTGCCTCCTTTATCAAAGATAAGGTGACCATATGTGCGTGGGTTTATCTCTGGGCTTTCTATCCTGTTCCATTGATCTATCTTTCTGGTTTTGTGCCAGTACCATACTGTATTGATTACTGTAGCTTTGTAGTATAGTCTGAAGTCAGGGAGCCTGATTCCGCCAGCTCCGTTTTGCTTTCTCAAGATTGCCTTGGCTGTTTGGGGTCTTTTGTGTTTCCATACAAATTGTGAAATGTTTTGTTTTAGTTCTGTGAAAAATGCCAGGGGTAGTTTGATAGGGATTGCATTGAATCTGTAGATAGCTTTGGGTAGTAGAGTCATTTTCACAATGTTGTTTCTTCCAATCCAAGAGCATGGTATATCTCTCCATCTCTTTGTATCATCTTTAATTTCTTTCATCAGTGACTTGTAATTTTCTGCATACAGGTTTTTGTCTCCTTAGGTAGGTTTTTTCCTAGATATTTTATTCTTTTTGTTGCAATGGTAAATGGGACTCTTTTCTTAATTGCACTTTCAGATTTTTCATCATTAGTGTATAGGAATGCCAGAGATTTCTGTGCATTAATTTTGTATCTTGGTACTTTATCAAATTCATTGATTAGCTCTAGTGTTTTCTGGTAACATCTTTAGGATTCTCTATGTATAGTATCATGTCATCTGCAAACAGTGACAGCTTTACATCTTCTTTTCACATTTGGATACCTTTCATTTCCTTTTCTTCTCTGATTGCTGTGGCTAAAACTTCCAAAACTATGTTGAATAAGAGTGGTGAGAGTGGGCCACCTTGGCTTGTTCCTGATCTTAGTGGAAATGGTTTCAGTTTTTCAACATTGAGGACAATGTTGGCTGTTGGTTTGTCATCTATGGCCTTTATTATTTTGAGGAAAGTTCCCTCTATGCCTACTTTCTGCAGGGTTTTTATCATAAATGGGTGTTGAATTTTGTTGAAAGCTTTCTCTGCATCTATTGAGATGACCATAAGGTTTTTCTCCTTCAACTTGTTAATATGGTGTATCACATTTAATAATTTGCGTATATTGAAGAATCCTTGCATTCCTGGAATAAACCCCATTTGATCATGGTGTATGACGCTTTTAATGTGCTGTTGGATTCTGTTTGCTAGTATTTTGTTGAGGATTTTTGCATCTATGTTCATCAGTGATATTGGCCTGTAGTTTTCTTTCTTTGTGACATCCTTGTCTGGTTTGGGTATCAGGGTGATGGTGGCCTCGTAGAATGAGTTTGGGAGTGTTCCTCCCTCTGCTATATTTTGGAAGAGTTTGAGAAGGTTAGGTGTTAGTTCTTCTCTAAATGTTTGATAGAATTTACCTGTGAAGCCGTCTGGTCCTGGGCTTTTGTCTGTTGGAAGATTTTTAATGACAGTTTCAATTTCAGTGCTTGTGATTGGTCTTCATATTTTATTTCTTCCTGATTCAGTCTTGGCAGGTTGTGCATTTCTATGAATTTGTCCATTTCTTCCAGGTTATCCATTTTATTGGCAGAGAGTTGCTTGTAGTAATCTCTCATGATCTTTTGTATTTCTGCAGTGTCAGTTGTTACTTCTCCTTTTTCATTTCTAATTCTATTGATTTGAGTCTTCTCCCTTTTTTTCTTGATGAGTCTGGCTAATGGTTTATCAATTTTCTTTATG